TGCCGCTCAAAAGGAAATTGCAACATATAACAAAGGTTTAACACCCAAGATCTAAGCTGTCAATCAAACTCTTAGCCAATGAGAAGTATTGCAGCCAATTGGGGCTAAACGTCACGGAACCCCAACTTCGTGGCGTGCGACTTAAAGGGGCGGTGCAACAATTTGCGGACTTTGGCTAGTTAATTGCGGGAATTGATCCCGGCCACATATAAAACAAAGGACCGAAAACTATTCTTTCCTGCTTGCCCTAGTTTTCATTAAAAAAAAATAAAAGAAATTGGTATCTCCGGCACCCGTCAACTCAACATTGAAGCGGCACCAGCTTCGCCTGTGACGTCATTCGGAGTGGCGTTGGTTTCCGGTTGGGTTCTTTTGGCTTCCATTTCCCCAGCGCTCGCCGGCTCGCCAGGCTCGCTGCTCTCCCGTCGATTCCCGACCAACATGGCGGCACGGCGGAAGTCGAAGTCAAAGTCGAGGTCGAGACACCAGGAACAATAACGATACTGCGGACCACGACCAACGCACTCCGTCGAGCGAGGGAAAGACAAAACGTCCGGGTTGCTCGTGTAGGCGCCTCGGGCGTCGACGGATGACGGCGACGGCAGGTTTTGTTGACTTGCAGTAGATGGCGCCACAAATAATTCATACCCTTTTAGCGGCAATATTAGGCTTTTGAAGCGTTTCTGCATGTCTAAACAACAAGATTTTTTAAACTTAACCTTAAATCAAGCTTACAATTGCCTAACACTATCACTTACAAAAACCACTCTAAATGACGTCACACCACAGGTTCCATTTGCGGCCACCATGTGGCCGCAGGTTGGGAAAAAAAGGGTTTTTTATTTTGCGATTACGCAGCGAAATATAGGTATTTTGGGGTATGGTGGCACTTTTTCTCTTATGCCGAAGTAAACAATATAAAAAATACAAGCTGCACATTCGTTCAGTGTTAAAATCATTGCACCGCTCCTTTAAAACGGACGAAATAGCCGCAAACTAAAATCAGTCTCACGCCATAAATATTGCTGTAAAAATATTTTTTTCTCGCGGAAAAATTGTTTTTTGATATGCTTGTCCAAATTAGGCTGTTTAAAAAAAAAAAAACTTTTTTTTCTTTGCAGTTACCTTTTAAGGGGGGAAAGCTCCTCCCACCTCTTTACACTTTGGCAGAGGGAATGCCGGAGGGCGGGCGACCTCCTCTCTGGCGTCCGCCCTGCTAAAGTGGAAAGGGGGGGGGGGCTTCCCCAGAGCTCTTAAGCTGTCACTGACTGTAAATTGCTTCGGAGAATTCGGTAAACTTTACGAAAGCTCGGAGCGCGCGGGAAGTGTGGCAGTGAGGCTGGCGGTGGAAGAACGCAAATGATCAGACGCTCCGAGTGTTTCTAAAAGTTACCAATTTAGTTGTCTTCAATGACGCCCGGCATGTTTCTATTCGGAACCGTATGTCTATTTTCTCCAATTAAAAAATGAATGAACGACTTATAGTTAATTGTCCGACTTATTGCAACGATTAGCCGTCTACATTGCGTCCCCCAGCCGTATAAAGGCCGGTTCAGACACTTGCGTTTGAGTGCGTTTGACTGCGTTGCGTCGAGAACCGAAAGCGAGTCACCGGCACATCTGTGCTTCGTGTGAAGCGTGCAATCCTATTCAAAGAATCATCTTAGCACGCGATATAAGTAGCAGGGATGTCCTGGTTTCTCGCTGCCGCAACGCAGTCAAACGCAGTCAAACGCAACTGTCTGAACCAGGCTTAACTCGCCTGCACAGGCTTCCTTAGCATAGCTTTCTCTTCCTTCTTTAAAACAAATCTGTAAAAACCAAAAAAAGAAAGCAGTTTTCTTTGAAGACTTGTTGAAAATGGGGGAAAGTGATTGTCCTCGCGTTTTGGATTTGAAACGCATTTCGTCTGCTGCGTGCAAAAAAAATTTAAAAAATTTGCACGGTGGGGTGTAGCCACGTGACTTCCACCATTCACTCTCTCCTCTCCACTTCTTCGTGCGGTGCGGAGGTTTCGGTTTTGGTTTAGAGCAGTTGTGTTTTTTGGGTTTATTAAGAAAATACGTGATTCTGTAGCAAAATATTAATTTGGTAGCATTCCAACACCATAATAAATCGCCTGGCAAAAAAAAAAAAAAAAAAAAATTTGGGGGTGTCAGTGTTCTTTTAACCCGAAAGTATCCGAAAGTGTGCATCTGGCAGCCATGCGGCCACTCGTTTATTGATGTGTGTGGTTGAAGGTCATGTTTTCATCATGTTTCCTTTCCAGAAGTGGCCCCTTCACTGGTGATAAAGGTGGCAAGAAAGTGCTCGTTTAATCCGGACTGGACGAGCCTGAATAATTTGAAATAAGCAAGTTGGATTAAGCCCGTGCAAAATGATTCTCACAGTGTTTAATGCTCAATGCCTTGTGTTGTAATGATCTTATATATTAAACCACCTCTACAGTGGTCAGAGAATTTGACCTGAAATTGTTAGGGAAAACCTGAAAAAGTCAGGGAATTTTAAAATAATAATTTGCTAGACACCCTGCAAGAAGTCGTCCTTGAGGTTGTCTGACCATACTACAGCTTCGCTGGTCTTCGTTCTTCATCAGAGTGGAAAGGCTGAAAGTTGTTTTCGTCTGCTGCGTACTTTTCGTCGCCAGTCAGTGCATGTGTGCCCCTGGGCACGGTGACCTTGGACACTCCATCTTAACGCCGCGCTGATGGACACGCGGCACCATGGGGTGAGCAGTGGTGGAAACTGACGAGCGCAGCGGCCAATGGGAGTCCCGTCGACGCGCACCAGCCAATGGAACTGAAGGAAACTAGGTGCCGTTTTCGCGCTTCAAACTGATGACGTTAGCTTGCTCCATGAGACCAGTTAATGCTTTCGCATTAAAAAATATATTCCCCACTTCATCAGACGCGCCAAGCAAAGAGCCATGTGGCTCAAGAAAGCGCATGTGAAGTCAATGTGCCGTCATCTTGCACTTCGATTTTGCTGAAAATTGGAGTGTCATTATCCAGCATGCTGTGCAAAGACACCACTGGAAAAGCAAGTTGGTTTTCATCTTTACCTGTGTGGCTACAACCGAACACGGAACGCAAAGCTTCGGCGTAGTGAGCGATGACATTGTCCATGACTCGTCCCATATGCTCTTTGCGCTCAACATCGTCGAAGGAAGGCTGGAGGAAGTATTGCCTATTTTGACGCAACTCGTTTATATTTCAGACAGTGCTCCAAGCCACTTCAAAAACAGGCACCAGGTGTACAAATTAAAAAGAAGGAATGTTGTCGCCAAGTGGATATTCTCCGCATCAGGGCTCGGGAAAAGCTTGTGTGATGGAGTGGGCGGCGTGCTCAAGCACCAGGCATTCATGTGTGACTTGACGACTATAGAATTGTACTTTATAACGGACGTGCAAAGCTTCGTTGAGGCACTTGGACTGAAAGTCAAAGGGATTGTTTTACTCTCAATTGCCAAAGAGAAGCTCCAGCGTTTCTGGGAGCTCAAGAAAAAAGAGTGGAAGAAGGCAAACCCACCAAGGGGCATCCGATCCTCACACGTGTGGAGGAAGACACTGGAGGAAGGCGCCTTGAACGTTGCCCCAGAAAGGATTTGCGAAAGCGCAGAGTAGCTGCATCCACGTGTCAAGGCATGCACGTAACGCTTTCTGTCCCAAAATTTAGAAAATCATCACTGAGTGCGTGTCGGCATGTTCAGAACTGCAACGGTCGACTGCGTGGCTCCTACACAGTGTGAAAACTGATTCAGTTACGTCGAACTAGTTAAAAAAATGTACTGACTTCAGAAAATGTGCCGTCAATGTTTTTGTGTTTTTTACTTGTTCTGCGTGTGCGTTTCTACATTACTGAGGTGCACGAACTGTGCAGTCAACCGTCGGCGATCAGCGAGATGTGAGGACAACAAAACTCGCCGCATATTTCCGGAAGATTTATGTACAAGATTTGAATGGTGTGAGAATGTATCATTTAATCATAATAGGCTTTGTAATGAGAGGCCACCCTCGTTTACTTTGAACCACTCTATATAGAAACAATTTTTGTAATGTTGCGTTGCCTTTTGTTTTGTATATACTTGTTACTCATTGTTTTGTAGCGTGCTTATGTGGTTTGTGCTCTTAACTGCGAATTTTATTTCCACCCCTAAAAGCCCTGGTTCTCACTAGGGAGGGCACAAGCCCCGATGCCCCCCCGTAGTCTATGCCTATGAATAAAACGGTGGCAAACGGTTTTTCGGAATTGCTCAGTAATGCCTACAGCACTATACACTTGTGGGTGTCTCAGCAGTAAAAACACAGGCAGCGAGTTCAGTCACAACACGTCACATCAGAACACAATGCAAAGTGTCCTTTGTTTGTACAGCACTTAAAACAAATATTTTAATTTTTCTAAGGATATCTGCTCCAAAAGCCACTTTTTCTGCTCCGAAACACTGTCGTGGCTGTGCCAAAAGCCACTTTTGCTCCTCCAAAACTCTGTTTTGGTTGCTCCAAAGGCCACATTTGCTGCTCCAATAGGTGCTCCAAAATGGCTCGGGCCAATCACATCACTGCTGGCATCAACTTCACGGTTTGTTGATCAGTGTCGCTGCAAAGCAGACATTCGCAACTCGAGCTTGTGTTGGATGACATCATCTGCAAGACAACTTATTACAGATGGTGCATGTTTTATTGGTTCATTCAGCAGATGACCTATAAGAGCTTCATTTTGTTTCACTCTGCCAAGGACACTTCAGAGCAGACAAACCCCTATTCTTCACTTGCGTTACCTGAAAAGCCCATTGCTCGCGCATGTTGGCAGACGAACCCCAGTTTTAGCACGCGACATCAAACATCCCTATTACGCTCGCTTCTCCTTCGCTCAAATAAAACTAATTGAGTGTGAGAGCCGAGCGAGCAAACTGTGAAAAGCTGGCAATCGTACTGCCGTCTTCTATAGGTGCTCGATCTTCCTCGCTCTTGATTTCTGTTCACTCCATCTGTTTCCGACAGGCCAGAAGAAAAGAAGACCTGCCGCAAGAACCGTACCTTCCCAGGATGCACCTGTCCCACCACTGGACAATACTCCCCAGCTGCAAGCTTGTTCGGGTAGAAGCACACCTCGAGGTGAGTGACCCGAAATCAGTGGCGTGTAGCAAATCGTTGCGCATGGTATTGTTGGAGGTTGTTTGCAACGACAATCAGTTCATTAAACAATGTTTCGTCACCAAATTGTTTCATTAATACTTCAACGTTTCATTGACAGTTCGTTCTTCCCGCACACATCGCCTCGGTCGTTGGCATTCAGATGGTAGTCTAGCTCGCCGAATCCTTGGTGGTTGCGACGAGACTTATAGCCCCTTCCTTTGGCGAATAGCGAGCGGTCACAGAAATGGAACTCGGAGCATTCGGTCTCGGTGGTGGAGCCGCTGAGTGACCGATCTCGGGGGCAAACAATTTAGCAGACGGAGCGTGGATGGAGCTGCTCTGCTCGTTGGCATTTCCGCTACATAGCCGCAATCGCCGTTGCTATGGCACTGCTGTGGCTGTTCTCCCCACCACCACCACCCGCCTAGGCCTCATCCCTCCATCAGCCCCGCGTAAAGCATGAAAGCCGTCGTGCTGAACGAGCGCGGCTTGTATTTCCTGCCTAGTGGCCGATTCATACGACAGACTGATTCGCTGACGGATTGATCAAGCGACGACATGTCCGCGGTTCATCCATCTCCCATGTGCATCCGCACGATGGAGACGATGAGCAGACGTCAGTGAGGACGGTCCGAATCTGTTCGCCACCGCACTGTGTCGTGAAACTCTGACATTGCATCATGGAACCATTGTCCAAGAGAGAAATCGACATTTGCTACCGTGATAGAGTCGTATGCCACTGTTATGTACAGGTCGAGACAAAACACCGTGATAGGCTTTGCACAGAGTGCCGCTAGCTTTACTAACCCAAGGCATGACGGTGACACTGGCATGATCTGTAAGCTGTCATCAGCGTCGGATTCATTTGCTATTGACGTAACTTTTAGGTTTTCTAGTACTTATTTGTACATCTTAGCATAACCAAAATGCCCCCTGTCTCCACTGTGCTCGGCTCTTGTTAGTGAAACATGTCCATGGCATCTCTTGCAGGATTGTTTTCATTGTATTTTAGCACAAGCTAAAATTTCATTATGTCGTTCCTCCATTTGCAGAACCCCAAGATTATACTGAGCGAGACGAGCAGCCTGGCAGCCATCTTGTATCTGTGAAGTCAGGTGAGTTGATATCTCTTGTTAGTAATACACGTCCATGGCACCCCTATCGTGGCTACTTTACACCTTGGCGTAAGCCAAACATGTTTAAGCATCTCAGGTTCAGCCACCTTTGATCATCTCACTTGTTTGCTTTTATATTTATTTATTTGACATATGGACTTTAATAGGAAATCATGGTGTAAGGCGCAAAAAACAACGGACACGAGAGAGAAATCAGACATACAGGCACCACTCACAACTATATTTCAAGAGTGCAGAAAGGAATTGGAATACATTGTCAGGTTCTTTATGGAAAAAAGAAAGGAAACTGAGAGGTCCGTCTGATTTTTGATGTCAAAAAAATATATTTGCACCCAGTTATTCTACTTTACGATTCCACGTAAAAAAAGGGAAACTTATTAGCAAATAAATAAAAGAAAAGGGCGTGCGTCCAAAGTTCGACTTGCCGAGGTTGGCACTGGTTTACGCTGGTGGTAGAAGCCGGTCTCGTTTGGCTCCAGCTGCCAGCGTACCGATGGTGACCAGTCAACCGGTTGTTAGGAGGGCTTTGCCGGTTCGCTCTTGAGCCAGGCTTGCCGTTCAAAGTCGACGGTGAAGACAGGTCGGCGGACTCCTGTGAATGACAGCTTCGCCGGTGTATTCCGGAGCCAAGCTTTTTCGAATCCGTCCGCTCTTCGCCCTGAATCTCCTCGTTCTCCTCTACTTCTTTTTCTTCCCCTTTTTCACTTGTCTCCTTCTATTTTCTTCCTCTTCTTGTCGCCGTATTGATCACATCATTACATACATATAATAATAATAATTATCTTTATTTTTTCGGGTGCCCTAAAACGGCCGAGCGGCCTTCTCTTAGGTACACCAACTCGTACAATAGAAACTCTTAAACAAAAATCCTACTCATTAAAAAAGAAATAGATATGCATATACACTGACGCGCTATGAAGTGACCAAAGGTTCGTCCAACTGACTGCGAAATGTAGGCAGGGGTTTGGTGATGTCAACTTGAGGTGGCACAATGCTGTTATATAATGTCTGTAAACGAGAAAGAGGTGAGACGCGGCATGGTGAGCAAATATCAAAACAGGTGAGCTGTCTCGTCGCGCGGAAAGGAACATGGAAATTGATTTTACTAATAAACCATGAAGAATCAATGGCACCATTAATGATCTTATGCAGGAATACCAAGTCAAGGACTGTTCTTCTGTGGTATAAAAGCTTCAGCGAAAATCTATTCAGTAAGCATTCATAGTCATAATACACGCGTCGTCCAATCCATCTATCATAAGCAATTCAAACAAATCTTTTTTTTTTGCACACGTTCTATGATCAAAGCCTGTGTTACAGATATTGAATTACAAATCACAGAAGCAAACTCAAGCCTTGAAGCCACTAAGGAATGAAAAAGATGTATTGAACAATGGGGCTTTTTAAAATGCTTGGTCGAACGCGATATAACTCCTAGAACTTTCATTGCAGAGCTGACAACAATAGAGACATGATTTTTGAAAGTTAATCCGCAGTCAATGAACACACCAAGATCCCTTACAATTGACACTCGTTCATTCGGATTTCCCTCAAGATGATAAGTGTTATTTATGATCGCACGGCATTTGCACAAGGATATCGCTTTTGTTTTTAAAGGATTAAGAAATAACTGATTTTATTTACACCACTGTGCTATATTAGACACATCATGTTGTATCAGATCACAATCTAAAAAACAGTGAACACTCTTGAACAACTTGATGTCGTCGACAAATAAAAGCAGTTCAATGTTTTTACACATGACGCTATATCATTTATAAAAATTGAAAACAGTAGAGGACCCAAAATTGATCCCTGGGGTACGCCTGATATTGAAAAAAAACTCTTTGGAATAACTGTCAGCCACCCGAACACTATTTGATCGAAAAAACAAATAACTCTTAAACCAGTTACACATTTCTGGACAGACACCATACAGATGTAACTTGGACAAAAGCAACACGTGACTCACTTTATCGAATGCTTTTGACAAATCAAAGTATATTGCATCTACTTGTTCTCTGTTTAAAACAAACGGCACACAGTAATCTAAAAAGGTACACAAATTTGTTTCCACAGACCTACCTTTTAAAAAAGCGTGCTGCAAGGGCGTTAATTTTTGACGGAAATAAAAAGTCTTCTTGCTATGCACAATCTCAAAAACCTTGGAAAAACCACCAAGCAGGGAAACTGGACGGTAGTTCGCAACTATAGATGCGTCACCGCCTTTTAAGATAGGAACAACAACTGCTTTTTTCCAGAGCGAAGGGAAAACGCCTGAACTGAGTGGCATATTAAAAATGTGTTTCAAAATTGGAATGAACAGCTGACCGCAACCCTTGATAACAAAGCCTGGTACACCATCCACGCCAGAAGAAAACTTGGGTTTTAGCTTTCTTATCGCCTCGGCAATATGAAGAGAGTCCACTCTTGTGGAACTCAAAAAATCGTGACAAATCAGCTCCTTATCCTCCGGTTGAACTGATTGCTGATTGTCAGAGAAACATTTGGCAAAATAACCAACGAAAACATTTGCGACTTCATGAGGTGATGAAACATAACCCGGGGCCTGTTATCTGAACAGGCACGTAAGCAGATGATAGGACTAACGTTATGTGTATGTTGCTTCGTGAACTTCCAGAAAGTCTTCGGGCTGCGAAACAAGCTATTTTCTACGCTGTCGAGATGCATGCGTTTATCGCGCTTGAACAGTTTCTTCGCCAAGGCCCAATATAAACTGAATTTGGTGTACATAAGTGAAGAGCCACATTTCTTTTTATAAAGACGGTGGAAATGTTCTTTCTTGACCAAATAACATTTTAAATCCCTGGAAAACCATTCAGGATATTTGGATGGCTTTGTTGAACGATTCGGTACAAAAGTGTCGATGGTATCTTTTACAATTGTTGTTAGGGTCTCGGTAGCACGATCGACATCAGACATGGCGAGAACGTTAGACCAGTCAAAAGTTTCAATATATTTATACGAGCCAAGGTAATCTCCTTTTAAAAAACTGTAAGCTAATGGCTTTGACGATATCCGCGACTTCCACGGAAGAGATAACTGGACTATTAAAGGTGGGTGAAACTTATCAACTTGTACCAAAGGATCGGAAGCCAGACATAAGCTTAGAATGTGGACATTTGACATATGTCGTCATCTTCATCACGTCCACGAACGTGCTTCGCTATGTGATATATGCTTCAACTCCCATTTACAAAAATTTATAAAATAATCTAATCTCGGCTTTATAGAGTGCAATAGATGTGCCACCTTTGATTGCACGACAGAGGCGCCAGCCGGGATGCTTATTGTTTTATGTTTTCTTACTTTTGACGAAAATCTGGCACGTCGAGAACCAGTAAAACGGTGGCAAGCGGTTTTTCGGGATTGCTTGGCAACGCCTACAGCACTGTACACCTGTGAGATGACTCAGCAGTAAAAACACAAGTAGCAAGTTCGGTCACAACACGTCGCAACACAACAAAAAGTGCCCTTCGTTTGTCCAACTCTTAAAAACAAATATTTTTTTATTTTTGTAAGAATATCTGCTCTAAAAGCCACTTTATCTGCTCCGAAACACTATTGTCTGGCCCAAAGGCCACATTTCTGCTCCAAAACACTGTTTTGGCTGCTTCAAAAGGTGCTCCAAAATGGCTTAGGCCAATCGCGTCACTGTGAAAGGGTAGTTTTATTAAGGTGGGATTTATGCCAAAAAAATGTAACGGAGAAAAACACATTCAAAGTGCTCAAACCTCTCCTCTTCTTTAGTATCAATAAACTAAAATAATTGATAAAAGTTTTTTCTCCCTTTTTTTTTTAGTGTAAACAACTGAAAGCTTTTGGGAATACTCTAGATGTTGATGGATGTAAATATGGCATTTTTCAAAATTAGTTTTTTTGCAGAAATGTTTTTTTTTCTGGGTAGTGTCCCCCCTCAATGCACCTTTCCAAAAAACACTCGACCCCAGGGCAGCAAACTGTTTTCGAGCCCAGTCACTGAGTTTGAGGCCAGACTCTCACCGGCGTCCCTCCTAACCCTAACCGAGTGGACTGTGATTTCAATAGGCGTAGTTTCAAACGCTGCTGGCGGCTAAATTCTTGTCTTTTCCCGCTATATTTTGTGTTTTATGGTACATGTATTTTCCTGAGGATATTGAGAAAGCATTGACCACATTTGCAAAAAATGTGGTACGCGACAGAACGAATGCGACTGGAATGTATAGTTCTAGTTATTTGTGTTTTTTTCTTACGATCCGTTTTGACGGCGCCGCGGGATTCGCCGCATGTGAAACGACAAAGCGCTTTGCTGTCAAAAATAAATTGTAGCAGAAGAGGTCCGAAAGGCATGCATTTTTCACGCTCAGAAATAACGTGTTTACCGATGAACAGGACACGGAGATACAATTGAGGAAGTGTTAACCATTCAAACAATATATTGTTCGTACCACACACTATGTAGCATTATCCTAAAAGAATTTATTTGAGAAAGATCTCAAATAACACAGTCACAGTTGTCAACATCTTGACAATCGGACGGAGTCCAAGATTACTTTGTTTTGGGGAGAGCTTCCTTTTTTCACAACTGCTCCAAGGCAAAGGAAGGAACGCGACTGACCCGTTTCCCGCCCCAACCCGGACAACTATTTTTGGAGATGACTGAGGGGGGAGAACAATGTTTGTTACGCAGCACGCATAAAAAATATTAAGTCGAAACTTTCAAGAGGGGCGAGAAAACGTCTAATGCAAAACCACAAAAACGTAGGCAGAGAACCGCGCTGAGCGGGTCTTCACAGTCCAAGAGAGTGGCAGAAAATTTCTAGCTCATAGAGGGCGCGAGAGTCGCACCAATCGCATCAGTATCAGCAACATGGTGGCGGCCTAGGAGCGTTTTTTGGAAAGGTGTATAGGTGCTGAAGATGCACGAGGGCGTAGATTCCAAAAACCCCTTGTGTAACGTCACGCTCCGGAAAGGAGGGCCTTCAGTGGTACGTTGAAAATGATCTTCTGCAGCCTCTATGCACCAATTGAAAACAAATTTTGATGTTCGAGATTCTGGAGGTGAAATGAAGACAATTTAAATGTGTTTTCTTAAATACAAAACCACCCCAGTTTCCCTTTAAAGTTTCTTCCAATGAAGGGAGACTGCACCCAGTGCAGTCTTTTTGGAAGCCTAAAATTAGGGTCGCAAGTTTATTCTTATCCTATTGGAACCGCCTCGGTCAGTTTGCTTTAGTTTCAGTACGCTTCAAGCGAACCAAATGAAGCCAGTAATTCAATCCAATCCACTTAGTAGAAAAAATATATTTGTACTGAAGGTCACAGGAGCGTGTGTACACGCAAGGAGTTTCCACGGGATGTCACAGTGTCGACGAAATGTGTGTTCATGAAACGTGTGTCAATGAAACGTTGCACACGAAACGTGTTTCCATGAAAAATTAATTTTGTTGACACAATCCTGATTTCAGACTGTACAACTTTTCGTGACGATTTGAGCTTCAGCTGCTATTCGAGCCTCACGCATTCACGCACAGGAATTGCTGACAACATTCTGGAATCATAATTAAAAGATTACCTATTACCTTTCTTGTACTACCGTATTTACTCGCATAATGTACGCACCCCCCCAGAACTAGCATCAATATTTGAACTTTTTTTTCCCTTGCTTAATAAATGCACCTCCAATCTTCGGCTCTACGAGTCTCGAACTGCATCCAACCCAGCTAGCCACCGAGCCAATTTTGTTTTTGCTGCCAAACGGCCAGCCAGAGTCAAGCCAAGCCAAGCCGCTCTCGTAATTGCTGCAAGTATGTAGTTGCAGAAGTGATCATCCGTAAAACCGAGCGGCGCGCACACCTAATGGAGCTGGGGTCGAGGAACTGCCCAGTCCCGGACATGCTTTGCCCATCGAATGCATTGATGTCCACAAACACACCGTTGTCTGTGGTCCGCTTTCGGACAGTGAAATCGTGAAAGTGGTTAGGCCTAAGAACCATCGCATCCACTGATCTCTACTGTAGGGGCTAGATGGCGCTTAGCTGCTCTCCGAACCTGACGCAAGTAAAGCCACCGAAATTCGATGCTTGTCCCGGAAGTCGGGCGTGCGCTGGGCTTCCTAGTGCATTCAGTCGGTATTTTTGGCCATGGTTTTTTGTGTCTTTCATTGGGTTTTAATACTCCACGTTCTGGATTAAATCCCGGAAATAAGGCATTTGAACTTGGGACATATTCACAATTTGATCAACTAGAATCTCAAAATGCTTACATTGAATGGCTTCCCATGGTACTTCTCGGGTCTGCATGTGCTCTTACTGCGCAGCAAGCAGGCTCTCTTGAGGGAACAAGCGAAAATCCAGCGCCCTCAATGCTTTTCGAACCAGAACTCGGAAGGGTTACAGAGCCTGCCAAGTGCTCACTTCCGGGACAAGCCGCTTACTTCCGGTGGCTTCATACCTGTTTGCTCAACGTGCCATCCAGCCCCCTCTAGTGGAGGTCAGTGGTCGCGTCGCTTTTCGTGCTGAGTGAGCTTCGTATGGTGCTCTCTCTTGGTTAAAAGGAACGCCGAAAGTGCCCCAAAAAGGTTTACAATTTTGAGAGCATGGTTACTGTGGCGCCCCCACGACCAGTCGGGGGTGTGCCTCAGTCGGTGGAGACGTGCCACAGTCTGTTGCCGTGTCATATTGGCATCTAAAATGATATTTCCACAATGCATGTAAATGCAAAAATTTTACTCCGCGCAATGAACGTACCCCCCAAATATGTGTCAATTCTTTGGGGAAAAAAGTGTGTTCATTACACGAGTAAGTACGGTAGTTAGACACAAACTTGCGCAGCAATAACATAATTTTACAATTTACATTTGCACCATAAAACCAACTACGTAATCCAGCAATCCATGGAAGCAATCTGTAGCAAACAGGACCAATGTAAAATGCCGTCTTCACTTGTCATCGCCATCATTACAGATATTCACGTGAAGATTTTGTGCTCAACTGGCGAAGTTCCTGAAATCAAGACATTAGCCTTGATCTGGACTGAAGCCGTCAATTTGTGTCTCTCGCAGAAACACCTGGGGAACTCGTTGGCAACTTTAGAATTTTAAAGAAAATTGCCCTGTTTGATCCAGGCCTTAAAAGTTCACTACCAGGAGTACAAATGTGTCACTCTTCAAGGTGTCGAAGATATATAAAGAAAAAGAATGAGGAAATTTGGGAGCTTGGGAAACTCTTGGAGACGCTCTGGGGGACCCTTAAGTACCATGGGGAACATCTGAAGGTGCTCTAGGGAATACTTTATGGTGCACGGGGAAGTTTTGAAGGTGCACCGGAGAATCCTTGAAAGCGCTCTGGGGAATCCTTGAAAGTGCTCTGGGGAATCCTTGAAAGTGCTCTGGGGAACCCTTGAAGGTGTTCTGGGGACCCCTTGAAGGTGCTGTGAGGAACCCCCGAAGGTGCCCTGGAGAACCCTTGAAGGCACTCCGAGGAGCCCTTTAAAGGGATACTTCAGCAAAATTTGAAATATACCCGTCGTGTTCAGAAATAGGCTGAATATGATCCACAATATCAGTAAATTACAATTGCACGTTTGTATTTTGAGCCTGATGGCTGTATTTTTCGTTATAAACGGCCCACTCTGGCAAGCGCTCGAAAAGCAGCCAGTGGACAGCACGTCACATCCGGTTAAATTGTGACGTAGTTTTCTCGGGATGAGCAAAGTTGCCGGCAAGGCTGACGTCATCAGGATGCCCTAGCCATTCCATCCACCGAAGCGGTCGAAGTACGTCAGCGATCGGGCCTGGAAAGCTGTTTTTTTGTGAATTTTGAGTGATGGGTTAATCTTCTATAAAAATGTGGAGGGAGAATAGCGACGTCTGGGACACACAAAAGAGAGTCCCGTTGAGCGAGGAGTTCCTCCCTCCCCTCTTTTCTTGTGCTGGCCTTTGAGCTGTCAGGATGACATCAGGTTCAAAGCATGTATAGTTTTAGGCAAGACAGTTATCATCACTGCCTGGCAAGGTGCCTTGACGAACATTACAAACCGGGCTTTGGCAGCATCCACCAGGAGCTCTTTGCTAATCGTTTAATTTGTTTTAAAATTCCTTTTCGTGTCTTTTTATCAAGATATTGGTGTGTCCGATGTGCTCCTTTGAACACTTTTAGATCAAAAACTAAGCGCCAGAATTTCATTGTTGTATTTCTTTAAGGTGCTCTGGAGAACCCTTTAAGGTGTCGGGGAACCCATGAAGGTGCTCTGGAGAACCCTTGAAGCCACTCGGGGAACCCTTGAAGGCACTTTGAGGAACCCTTTTAGCATGCTCTGGGGAACCCATGAAGGTGCTCTGGAGAACCCCTGAAGGTGCTCTAGAGAACAGTTAAAGCCACTTTGGGGAGCCCTTTTAGGTGCTCTGGGGATTCCATGAAGGTGCTCTGGAGAACCTTTGAAGCCACTTGGGGAACCCTAGAAGGTGCTCGGGAAACACTTGAATGTGCTCTGGGGAACCCTTGAAGGTGCTCTGGGGAACCCTTGAAGGTGCTCGGGAAACATTTGAATGTGCTCTGGGGAACCCTTGAAGGCACTTTGGGGAACCCTTTAACATGCTCTGGGGAACCCATGAAGGTGCTCTGGAGAACCCCTGAAGGTGCTCTAGAGAACACTTGAAGGCACTTTAGGGAATGCTTTAAGGTGTTCTGGGGAACTTATGAAGGTGCTCTGGAGAACCCTTGAAGCCACTCGGGGAACCCTTGAAGGTGCTCGGGAAACACTTGAATGTGCTCTGGGGAACCCTTGAAGGTGCTCTGGGGAACCCTTGAAGGCGCCTGGGGAACCCTTTAACGTGCTCTGGGGAACCCCTGAAGGTGCTCTAGAGAACACTTGAAGGCACTTTGGGGAACCCTTTAAGGTGCTCTGGGGAACCCATGAAGGTGCTCTGGAGAACCCTTGAAGCCACTCAAAGAACCCTTGGAGGTGCGTGGGAAACACTTGAATGTGCTCTGGGAAATCCTTGAAGGTGCTCTGGCGACCCTTGAAGGCACTTTGGGGAACCCTTGAAGGTGCTCGGGAAACACCTGAATGTGCTCTGGGAAATCCTAGAAGGTGCTCTGGCGACCCTTGAAGGCACTTTGGGGAACCCTTTAAAGTGCTCTGGGGAACCCATGAAGGTGCTCTGGAGAACCCCTGAAGGTGCTCTAGAGAACACTTGAAGGCACTTTGAGGAACCCTTTAAGGTGCTCTGGGGATTCCATGAAGGTGCTCTAGAGAACCCTTGAAGGTACTCTGGGGAGCCCAGTTTAAAAGCCCATGCATTAGCACATCATTGTCAATGTGGCCATTTTCTTGCTAATTATGGCAGAGCAGTTCTATGCCCTGAATCAAGCATTAATAGCGCCGTAATGTCCTAGTGTGTTAATTCATACTAATCCAAGCTTCTTGCCATCTCTCTTTGCAGAATTGGACGGTTCCAGTGAACTGAATGCGATGGCAACTGTCACTGTTAAGACTGGTCTGTTACTGCATAGGCAGTTTTTCTGTTTTTCTATTGTGCGTAGGGTTTCGTGTATCCGCTATTGACTGTCAAACCCCGAAAAGTACTCACCCGCAAGCTGGTTTTATTCAAATAGGGGAAAACTGAAAAGTCCGGAATTGGGGGGGAATTCTGTTCTTGAATAAGAAAAGCCCAAGCTTCACAGAAAGAGACCTCTATGTGCAGCTTTGTTGCGTGTGACCCAGATGTCAGCCTCCGCTGAACTAAACAGGATGAATCATTGGGCCATTCGGAATGAATGGCCCAATTGAAACAGCGTGACTGGGCATGGACAAAAGGAGAGACTGGACAGAAACGCTGCATTCGTGTTCTCTGGTCTCTACCTTCTTCCGGGTCTAGTCGTGCTGTTTCTGGACTAAGATGTCCACCGAACTGGCTGGGAAGAATGTTCTGTATTTATTAATTAATTGTACGTTTGAAGGTCCACAGCAGGAGATGACATGAGGGGTATTGGAGAGGAGATCAAACGATAGGGGGCTCAGTTTCATTATCATCATCACCACTACAAAAAATTGCTGTGTGGCAAACTCCGACGCCAACATTCGCCAAGCATACACCGTATCGTTTCTGCGCTCGGTGCATATTAGTTTGTAGCTATGGGGTGCGCACTTGCTGTATACTGCAGTGCTCAAAGCATGCTTTTGAATCTGGTACATGTAGCGCAAAGGACTGCAGCACATACGCGACGACGGACATTATCCACTGTCGGCTCTGGTGCAACGCTGCACTCAGTGACATGATCGCAGTTGAGCACGTCCTCTCCTTCAACGAGACAGTGCTTGCTTTCGCAGATGTCGTCCGTGATTGTCGCAAGAGACAGGATAACAGAAAATTGACATGCATGTGCAGGTACTTCCAGTAGAGGGGAGGGGGGTCAATTTATCAAATGTTCAAGAACCCCTCTCTCTCCTCCTGCACCCTAAATATTTACACATGCACAATCCAAGAGGGGTGTCAGGACATCTGGACCCTCTTCTGAATCAGCCACTACCGGAGAAGCTCTTGTTTTGCCTCCCAATCGATGACTTTGAAGGCAAAAGGGGTCTAGATTACTTTTAGCTAGATGTGTTTAGGAGAAAAGAATAGTGTTACATGTGTCTTTCCCGAGCCTCGCGTCGTCCTCTATGGCAGCGAAAGCACTATTGACTGTGGTCGGAGGGTTTGTTTGCCACACAGCGTTAGTTCCCCAGGTGGCCGCTATGGAGTGCCACTTTTCGATCTCTTCCCCAATAGAGAATATAAAAATAATAGGAGCAAAGCACTCACTATCCACTTCCACAACTGTTCATATAAATATTTCACTTCCACACAATGTGGGGAAGAGAAACTTGCTTTAAATTTAGTTATATGGTAAAGCACAGTTTGATTAAGAACTTTATATTCTTGATGTAAACCTAGCAATACCAGAACAAGAGCAGCTTGCTTTCTTTAGTTAGTGGCTTATACCACCTTTTGCTTCACTCCTTAATCTTTTTAACATATAATATGTTACAGCTATTTTATAATAAAATCTGGCACGAAAAAGTGACTTGTAGCTGCCGTCAATGTCAGATCCATGTTGCTAGTGGCATAACTCCGAGGTGTTCCAGCTTGCCTTTTCTATGTTTGAGCATAACCTAAAATGTGTCTTGTCACTGCCGTGCTCTGCTCTTGTCAGTGAAACGTCTCCATGGCATGTGATGCAGGCTTGTTTTCATTGCGTTTTAGCATAGGCTAAAGTGTCATTATGTCATTCCTCCAATTGCAGAACCCCAAGATTATACTGAGCGGGACGAGGAGCCTGGCAGCCATCTTGTATCTGTGAAGCCAGGTCTGCTTTTGAATTTCTGTCTGTCTTAAAGCTTTGCACCTCGTAAAACATTGACATTATCAAAAATAATCTCGCTCTCTTTTATACTCGCAGAGCCGGATTACTATGATGAATATCAGGAACCTATCAGCCCAGTGCTGCCTCTTACAAAAGGTACGTTGTTGACAACATTTTTTTTTTGTAGCTATAAGAAGGGTGATTGGTGAGTAAGTAAGTTCATGCGCTGCACCTCGGAGCACTAAGCACAAGCTCGCGCTGCAGAAGCCAGAGACCCTGGCTTCAGTCACCACTTCTGCCCATTTTACTAATTCATTCATTCATTTATTTCAGTCTTTAAAGGGTAACTGCAAAGAAAAAAAAGTTTTTTTTTTTAAACAGCCTAATTGGGACAAGCATGTCACAAAACAAATGTTCCGCGAAAAAAAAAACTTTTTTTATCAATATTTACACCACAGAACGTAATTTAGTAGAGTCAGAACCTCTCCACATTTGAAACTCCCGCTCTTTCAACCCCTGTGGAAAAGGAGTACGCCCCGCCCCTCACTCTCCTTGCGTTGCGGAGTTGAACGACGCAGCGTCTCGACTTCCGGCAAGATCTGGCAACTACGTCAGGCCGCGGTATTGTTTTGGTTTGACGCGGTTTGCGAGCACATGTAGCGAAGACGTGACCGGAGAAGTGCCCCTGTGATGTTCCCGGAAGACGGAAAGTATCGTTCGTAATCGTCGTGCGCGCTTTGAAAGCGAAGGGAGTCACAGAATCCACGAGTGCGCAACCACAAGCCAAGGTTCACGACAGCGCTGCGTTGGTTTCGGCAATCTCGTTCTGTTTGGTGCAACACGGCAATGCGACAGAGCTGAAACGTTCGTGGTGTGTGTAATGTGGTGCTAACATGGAGCGCAAATTGGTTGTTGTGGGGTTGACGTTCAACCAGTTAAGTCCCGTCGTCGTCAGCTGATCCAGTCAAACTGGTCCGGGAGGACGCTGGGAGCGTTTTTAAAAGTAAATCTGCCTCGTTCTGTTTCAAAATGTGGAAGTTTTCCGACGCATACCGTGAGTAAAAAGCTGCGGGCGTTTTCAACAAAATTACGTCGTTTTAATTGAACAATGGACTCCGAATTGTTGTCCTAAATCTGCCGTTTTTATGCTTCGTGTTGGACTGCGTTTGCACAGCGACGTGTTGCATCGTGCGGTGTGAATAAATTTGGGCACGATTTCGTACCTGCCTACAGATGCAAGAACTGAGACCATTTTTACTTAGTGGACATAGTGCTTTTTTATTTTCTGTCTAGTCTCGGACGTTAGGTGCACACGGGGCGAATCTCGACGGCCTCCAGAGCGATATGACGAGAACGTAACTAGACACGTTGGTTGCTATGCGAACGCCCGATTGCCTCCAGCCAAATAGCATTCCTTTCGGGGCGACATGGCTGCTGGAAGGCTCACTGTCGGGATCACGCATCTGATATCTCCGAAAAGCCAGCATTTGCACGCGCAAACAAGCAAAACAAAAAACACGCTAAGCAAGCAAAGAGGAAAACGAAAGAACCGCGCTATGAAAGCCAAAACCCCACGTCGCTTCCTATCACTAACACCTGCAACAGCTGCTAAACACACACTACTTCACTTCAAGAAGTTTCACTCAAGCATTTGGGCCAGCACGAAACGACGAAACACTGATCACTTCAGCGAAACGATTAGTCGAGGTAGGCGAGACAGGCGGGAGCAGAGACTTTGGCGGCCATGAAAGAATGGCGAAGCTTTTGTTTGTATGAATCCAAACGGAAGTGCCCGTCTTGTAAACCTTTTGTAAAGAATAATAACTCTCATCACATCGGTTATTCTTTAAACGTAAAAATATGCCGCTCAAAAGGAAATTGCAACATATAACAAAGGTTTAACAATCAAGATCTAAGCTGTCAATCAAACTCTTAGCCAATGAGAACCTTTTGGGATTGACGTCACATAATCACAACTTCGTAGCGCGCGATTTAAAACGGACGAAATAGCTGCAAACTAAAATGAGTCTCACGCAATAAATACTGGTGTAAAAAATGTTTTTTCTCGCGGAAAAATTGTTTTTTGACATGCTTGTCCCAATTAAGCTATTTAGAAAAAAACGTTTTTTTCTTTGCAGTTACCCTTTAAGGTCTTGTTAGGGCATTACATTAGGGGGGGGGGATTGACTTGAACAATACAACAGTGGCACAGAGCAGTAACACAATATAAAAAAATAAATGCAGCAGAAGTTACTCTACATGTTGTTAATTTAACTGGGTTGGTAGAAGGTAATGAAACTGCTGCGTCGGTGACGCCAGTGACGAAGGATGGCAGCTGGTTCCATTCAGCGATTGCATGAGGAAGGAATAATTTGTTAAACACATTAGTGTTACTGGAGATTCGTTTAGTTGGACAAGAGTTCTACAGGTGGTTTGATATTCTATAGGGGGCTTGAAAAGAGGGCACTTTCAAGCTCTGGACAATGGTTGTAAATTTTATAAAGAGGGCAAGGGCAAGATAGCTTTCTGCGGGTTTGAAGGGATAGTCCAGGGCCCATTTGCTCGAAGCGCTAACTGCGGCTAAAGTTAGCAGCAGTACCTAGGAGAGGGATTTTGAAATCGCGTGACTGGCTCGGTAGGGATGCGGGGAAACATGGCGGTGCCCCGGTGAATGAGCGCCACTCACTTTGGAACTAATATGTCGTTGTAGCTGCAATATCGGGCGCGTTAGTCAGCAACGAATGTTGCAGGTGGCTTTTGCTTTGCCGTACCTCACTTAAATCACAAAGCATCAGCAATAACCTCGCCGCATTTTTTAGATAGTCTTTCGATTCTAGCCATTCCTAAGCCTAAATGAATGCAATAATTGTCGGCATGGCAACGTCTTTGGAAAGCGGATTGCCTTCACTCAATCGGCAGGGTATTGATAGCACACAAAAGCAGACAGCTTCCCAATAGACCTTTTTCTAAATCACCCAAGCATCGAGGAGAACGCCTGAAGTGTAATTCTACGGTCCACGCGCGCTTGCCTCCCTGTTATAAAAGGTTCGAAGTAAATAATCATAGTAAGGCTGACTAACGCACGTGCAAGGCAAAATTTGTTAGACTTTTTGGTTTAGAACAATTACTACTGCAGACGCCAGCACGTGCAATGCGTGTAAATACCCTCGTAGCATGCACCTCTACGAGTCTATTGGGAGGCTGTCTGCTTTTGTGTGCTCTCAATACCCGGCCGATTGAGTCAAGGCAATAATCCACTTTCCAAAGATGTTGCCATGCCGACAATTATTGCATTCATTTAGGCTTAGGAATGGCCGGAATCGAAAGACTATCTAAAAAATGCGGCGAAGTCATTGCTCATGCTTTGCGATTGAAGTGAGGTAAGGCAAAGCGAAAGCCACCTGCAGCATTCGTTGCTGACTATTGTGCCCGATATTGCAGCTACAACGACATGAATTCCAAAGCGACCGGCTCTCACTCACCGGGGCACCGCCATGTTCCCCGCATCCCTACCGAGCCAGTCACGTCATTTCAAAATCCCTCTCCTAGATACTGCGGCTAGCTTTAGCCGCGATTAGTGCTTCGAGCAAATGGCCCCAGGTTGTCTTCTTTGGGAAAACATAGTGGCGGAGTAGTCATGCGATGAGCATGGTGCAATTCATGCAGTTGTACATTGCTGCTGCAGTATGCACGCTAAGAACTCAAGGACCAGGAGTCGTACTGCACTGGTTAAACCTCTCAGCTGTGCAAATATAGCGGACGGTCATTGGGGCTGGCTAATTTTCCTCTGTCTAAAGACATATTTTTAACGATGTGCTACTCATATTTTTGTCAATTTGAATGTATTGCATTGGTATGTTTCGTTTTTGTCATTTTTGTTGTATGCCTTTTCTGTCTTCGCGTTTATATAAAAATGCTGGCAGTAGTATATACAAATAAATAAATAAAGAAAACATGGAACAGAATTGCTCAATTCGCTGAGAATGAATAATGTAACTATATGTCTCGCTTGTTTTCTTTTTCCTACTTGCGGAACCCGCAGATTACACGGATGTGACAATGGTTACATTCCACTTGGATACAGGTCTGTGCTGCTTTAAACTCGCAATTTTGAAGTTTGATCGCCGGGGGCCCGTTTAATGCCATCACATCCTTTGCAGAGCCACAGGCGTCCGAAGAGAACCTGGATTGCGACAATGCAGCAGTGACTGGTAAGATTGGTCCGTTGTTTCAGTGCAATTCTATGATGAGATGCCATTCTAAATACAGTCGAACCTCGATATAACGAACTTCAATGTAACGAAATCCTCGATTTAACGAAGTATTTTATTTTTCATAATTTCTTGCCCATAGACCCCATGTATTTTTAGTCCCTATATAACGAAGTCTATTTTGCTGCTATTTCAATATAACGAAGCGCCATTGCCATAGAAGGCAATAAATAAATCAACTCTAAAAAACAATTTCGCAAAAAAATTGTGGTTAAAAAAAAAATTATGCGCAAACGCGAGCGCTTGATAGGTTACTTCACGGGGACAGGCCTTCCAACGTTCCTAGCGGCGCCGGTAGCGCCGGCGAGGCATGCGGCAAAGCGGATTCCGCGAGGCTGGCCAGAAAATGCCGAGCAAATAGTTAATAACACGGCATAACAGCATCACCACTGACATTCACTGATCATCATAGTCCACTGTACCGCGGGTAGCGCGGGAGCCAACTTCAGCGGGGGAGCGACGTGATGGCGCGACCGCGCGACTACCGCGCGACCGCACGGGCAGTGCCATCTAGGAGAAGACCGAAAAGACCGATAGTTGTCTTGCGAGCGTGATGTAAAGCAAAGGCGCAAGCACACTGTGGGCGCAAGGGGGCAAGTAAACTGTGCGGTCAAGAGTGCTGTGTAGGTTGGAAACATTGGCACCGCCTAAACTAAACAGCTTTATTTTTTAACCGGACGGTTCACTTACGTGCTTGCTGCCATAAGGAAACGTAAAGTTCTTTCTTTGGATGAGAAAGCAAACGTTTTGGACGCCATCCTGAAGAAGCTGCCGAGATCACGAGCACTCGGGAAGTGCTCGACGCAATGGACGTACTGAGGAGGTACACGGCGTCGCATGGGCAGCAAGATGCCGTGCAAGCGCACTGGGCGCTCGAACGCCGTATGACGCCGCCGACGCCGCTGCTACTGTCGGACAAGGCGCAAACAAAACTCGCGGACTACTTTGCCCCTAAATAAATGTCATTTTCGGTGAGTTTTCATACCCGTAAAATGTTTCGGAATTTTTTTTTTCGCATGCTAAAGCCAAATTTCGATTTAGCGAAATTTCAATGTAACGGAGTAAATTGCGAATTTTACCGACTTCGTTACATCGAGGTTCAACTGTATCCCAACCACTTCTTCATGCAGAGCCACAAGATCCAACGGAGGTCAATGCTGAGGCAGTTTTTGCGGGGACAGGTGCGTAGCCCTGCCGTTTCGGTCGCAGTTTAGGATCCGCAGTGGCCGTGAGATTCAGCCATCATATGCGCTGTGGGGAAGAGAGCACTCTTATACACAATTTTACGCAAACTTGATGGTCCATTTTAGTGCAATGATGGCTAGGTGCCATTCTAAATTTCGCAACCACCTCTACATGCAGAGCCACAAGATCCGAGGGAAGTCAATGCTGAGGCGGCTTCCATGGAGACAGGTGGGGGTAGCCCTGCTATTTTTCTCGCAGTTTAGGATCTCCATTGGCTTTGAGATTCAGCCATCATGCGCGCTGGGGTGAAGAGAGCACCTGTATACACTATCCTACACCAGCTTGGAGCACAAGAAAGGCTATAAGCACAGTAGAACCTGGTTGCTGCAGATCTGATTACAGCAGACATTTGGCTATAACCAGGGTTAAATGTTTCTGGATAAATCTGAAAAACACCCGTCAGTAAAATTTTGATCAATTTAGATGCGTTAAAACTCAAAATTTTAAAGACCCCCCCCCCCCCCCCCCCCCAAAAAAAAAAAGAAAGACAATATTTTAACTTTATCATTGCACAGGGTCAGTGGTCATGGGAAAATACCACAACAATTGTCTTAAATCTCGGACCATTGTCAAAAGGGCTCATGGCGTATCTCGTCAGAGTCCATTCAGGACAACAGGTCATTGTACTTTCGAGTCGCGACAAAAGCCACTATTTTGGTTTTCAGTTTGGGCCATACTATCTGTGCTTTAGAGAAAGGAGAGGTTGTGCTTTTCTTACAGTGAAAGCTCTAGACCATAGAGCAGGGCTGGGCAGAGATACCCCAAAAGGTATTCGGGAATACAAATACTGAGATACATGTGTTTTAAGGCCAAAATACAGATACTGAGATACATTTGTCTTTTATGCAACAGGATATCCCTGAGATACGTACGCAGTAACGGCGAAAAAGTATTCCAAAATACAGATTCCGATAATCATTGAAATACATTTGTTCCCGAACGGTGGTACGTGGAGAGGGTGCAGTTTGTGGTGAATGCGAAAGGGAATTTATGCTTGTGCTCCTCTTTTTGTGCTTTTTTATGCACTGCCCATCACCTCGAACTCTCTATCTATCATTAAATTCCGCTAAAAAAACATGTCACCCCCCGTTGAACCACATAGTTACAGAACGGTAAAGACTGCGTACCATGCTTGACAAAATGCGTCTGCCCAAAATGAAGTCTTTTTTGCCGTGAGGGCGCATTTCAAACTGTCATATTATAAGCTTCCGAGTCACCCATAGTGTAAGGAGTTGGACAACAGGGCCCCATACTCTTTCTCCACTCAACTCCCTAACAGCATTCGCTCCACTAAATTGGAAAGAGTGGATGGCTTTGTGACAGGATCTCATTTTGTAACTCTTGCAAGTAACGTTTAAACCACAATTTTTTTTTATTGTTGGTGATTGAGATGGGTCATGTTATAGGGCAGATTCATATTATAAATTCCGAAGCAAGTTGCACCAAACAGATGTTTTTATCCTTTAAATTTATCTTAAAAAAGGCATTCAAAGTATCGAGATGCCTAAGTCGGGCAAAGTATTGTGATACAAGCGATACATTGTAAATGTATTTCACTACTGAGATACAAATACGTTTTACAAATGTATCTCGATACAGAGATACAGATACTCAAATGTATCTCTAGATACTATCGCGATACATTTTTATTGTGATACTGCCTAGCCCTGCCATAGAGATTGCATAAAATGGGGAAGAGGGGCAGTTCTCTGTTTCCTTTACCACTACCTTTTGCGGCCACGGGTTAGGTTAATGTAATAGGATGGGATGAATGCGAGCTTCCCAGCAACTACCTCCAGGAGTTTATTGATTTTTAAAGTAACAACCTTTATCGAAGCAATACTTCTGTGCAGTGTTTGTCGTGGAATAAAGGAGTTTTTGAAAAAGGCAATGGCACCAACTCCAAATCCAGCTGAAAAAATATTAATTGATACAAGGGGAGTTTATTTTTTTTATCTAGCATACATTTACATCGGATATTTTTTATATATTTATTTATTTTTAATAGGAAATACTGCAAAATTAAATGCAGAATTTCAGAGAATTGGAAATCAAACAATAAGCTTTGCTTATTACAGATTCTGTTATAACATTTGGATATAATGGACTGCTATATTAGGGAGTCTGTAAGTAGTTTACATATCCATTAACCTTCTCATGGTCACTGATGTACAGTGCTAATCACACTTGTCTATAACGCGCGAGCGTGCGGCTTTCTCCGGGGAGCGCAGGACTGGTGGCATTCGCGGAAACTAAGCTAGTCACGTGGCGCAACATGGAACGGCCCGCTCGAGGGGTGTCCTGCCCACTCTATCAGCTTGATAAGCGATAAAAGTAAAGTGCTTCATAATATATTTTTGTTATTTGATGACGGCATCGTTGATCCGTCTTCATGCTTTGTTTATTGTACGAGCAATGATTTTTGTAAAAAGCGTGCGAGCAGCCTTCCGCGTTCGCCGCCAGCTGATAGTGTGGGCAGGACACCCCTCGAGCGGCCCATTCCATGTTGCGCCACGTGATTAGCTTAGTTTCCGCGAATGCCACCAGTCTAGCGCTCCCCGGAGAAAGCCGCACGCTCGCGCGTTATAGACAAGTGTGATTAGCACTGTACCTTTATGTCAGCGTTGGAGTGTCCCGCAAGGTTGCTAACGTACATGTACTACCGCAACTGCTCATTCAAAAATTCCCGTCTCTGCTTGAATGGGCGCATTCGCGGGGACGTGCTACCATATGGTAGGTTTGTAGGGAACTGCGACCATATAACTCCCGTCGTGTTTGTTTTGGCACGGCTTTTTGAAATTGCAAAACTGGACACTTTGTGCACGTGATACTTTCTAGATGGTTGCGCGCGCTGGCTGCTCCGGAGGGTAGCGTAGCGAGGGTTGGAGCAGGTTGGAGCGATGGCTCTTCGTGTTCGGACTTTGAACCCTTCTCGGACTCTGAGTTGGATAACAGCTCGACATCCAAGGAACAACTAGAAACCAGAAACCAGCTCAGAGTCGGGAGTCCGGAGTACAACACACAACCGCACTGTCTGCTAGACGGTCTCTGAAGCGGGCGCGTCAAAGTTTTGTCCTTTTTGTTTCGTTGAGCCTCCAGCAAGCGTGCCGCAGATGTCTTGAAGTGTGCGAACTATTTATTCTAAGTCTTACAGTTTTTTATGCAACAATAAAATATCGTAATATCCCGAGTATTCCCCACCCCCTTGCCGCCTGAAATTATAAAAAAACTGGGATGGGCCATGTCTCGGTGGATGAACACAAAAACTTAAAAAAAAAAAAAAAGGAAAAAACGCCCATTTTTTTGTGTGTATCTAGCGCGGCTGCAGAAGGGATACATTAAACTCAAAACTCAAATTAGTTTTATCGTTTTATTCAAAAAATGCTCATGAAATAGCGTTTTACCAGGGTTGGCCAGTAGTACTCTAAAATGTATTTGGAAATACAAATACTGGGATACATTTAAATTGTAGGTAAAATACTGATACTAAAATGTATCGGTAAAAATGTGCCGTAAGCTTGAAGTTTCAAGTTTGTAAGGGCCGCTCCCCCTTATTTAGAACAAAATATTGCAAAAAAGCAATTGGAGAAATTATTTGTGTATGCGCCACACCCCCTTGTTTTTGAGGCGTGCCAACTGTAATGCATGAAAGTTTCTACGAATATATATCGCTAGGTGGCGCTAGCCACCGCTTGAGCACGTCTCTGCATCCCCGATATTTGCTCTCCACTCATCTGTATCACCGTATGGCACAATGGCTGCCGACCTCGATAGTGGTCGGCTGCACCGTCGGGATGCGTTTATGTTGCGGCCGGAAGACATTGAGAAAAGATAAAGGATATGTCGGCTTCCGTGGCAAGCGTGAGGAATGGGGATTCAGCGGGCTCGGCTCGCGCGTGCACTCAGGGTTTTGAACGCCACTGTATGCTCTGGAGAGGTTTTCTTTTGTTCTTCGATTCGTGTCAAAGCGTCGCGATTTGTCTGCCTTTTCTCGCAATCAGAGCTATGGGCAAGTACCGCTTCAATAGTCATACGGGATTCAAGTCAAAAGTTGCCGCGCATGCTATCAAGTACAAAAAAAAAAAAAAAAAAAAAAGAAGCGTATTGCGCAGTATGTAAGCTAATTAAATCCGACTGACGATTCAGTCCGGATTCCGGAGTGAAGGCACTTTCGACCAGTGCAGCCGAGCGCGCTCATGTACGTTCATTTCGAAATGTGGATACAGCGGAAAAGGCCGGCGATGGCATTAGCAAATACTTTGGCGTCCGGCCGGGCGCCTTGTCAATCGCAACCTTTTGCGCAACTTTCTTGTTTAGTGCATACATGTGTGCGTTCGTGCACGGCGTGCTATAAACGCGGGTTAAAGGACACATGCAAAGGAAAAATCTTTCTGTAAACAGCCTAGATGGAAAAAGAATGTTATAAAACAAATCTACAATGAAAAAAAATAAATCTCAGAGCTATATTTAAGGCGCAAAACGAATTGTAGTTGGTGCCCACGGGAGCTGCCACGGGTCACGTAATACACCTGTGCGCCGTCGCGCGGCGCCATTGCCGCCTCAAAGTCACGCCGGCGCCACACGCTGAGCGTGGTGCGCCGCCGTCGCAGAAGTTTGTCTGCTCCGTGGCACCGCCGCTGCCGTCATCTGACCGGTGCACAGGTCTATCGCGTGGTGTTTATGCTCTTCCAGGAGCTTCCTTTGGGCTCTAAAAGTTACTTATTAATCTTCGTTTTCTGTTGCACTTGAAACAAAGATGAATAAGTAACTTTACAGACCATAGGAAGCTTCCCAAAGAGCGCAAGTACCACGTGAGAAATAGTGGCCACTTTTCTGTGGTGCCCGCGGGCGCCAACTACAAATTGGTATAGTGCCGTAAATATAGCTCTAAAAAATTATATTTTTCGTTGTAAATTAGTTTTCTGACTTCCTTTTCCAAACCAGGTTGTTTAAAAAAAAAAGTATTTTTCCTTTGGATGTCAGTGATGGAAGTGCTGCGCCAATTGCGCCATATTGCGCCATGCCTGCACTGAGATGAGATGTAGTAATAAAAATAAAAATTGAAGTCTTATCAGAGCACATGGCGGTACCGCAGTATGTTCCGCGCCGCAACTCTTACAAACTGCGAGGGCGCATTATCATCATCATCATTGAAAGGAACAACGTTA